GCGGGAGCGCCACTGCGCTCCCAAGTGCCGCACTCTACCGAGTGCGCCACCGGGCCGGCCCCTTTCAGTGGTTTTTAGTACAATGGCAGAAACATTATAAGTGGAGGGCTTTTAAGATATGACTCATTTTGACTGTCACCTACTCTAGGCTGAACATGTTGCTATGAGATGGCTGCTGTAGAAACAGTAACTTCTACCTTATTTCTTTGGTAGGTGGAACAGTTGCAGCACACCCATGAGGAACACAGATTTTGTGTATGTGATGGTGTTGTTTCTTAAAGAGAAGGGTGCAGTTATACTAGTGGTTGGCATCTGTGGCATGTTTGCATGTAGGTCTTGCATTGGTGCTGGGCTGGCTACTACCTCTAAGCCCTCCCTGCTTCCTGAAAAATCTGCCATTGACTATCAGTGATGGTGGCTGATACTATTCACAAGACTGAGGCCAAACAGGCAGCACCCTGACCCGAGCCTCATACTACCTTACAGACTAAAACTTGACAAGCCACTTTGAAAAGATTGCCACTCCTGGTATATACCAAACTCTTTCTGAACTTGTTTTCTGCTGTTGCTGAGAAGGTCAGAACCACTTCTGTCTGTTGATATTTTAAAGTTAGGAAAATGCTAGATTTTGATGCTTAACCTGTGCATGTGATGTAGCTATACTACTACTTTGGTCTCTAATTTTTAGTAAGTGTTGTTTCCTGTGCTTTGTTAGAGAAAATTAGGGAAAAGCTTTTTAAAAAAAAATTGGTTCCAGTTATCCTGTTATGTAACTAATCTTGACTGTATATCTTTATATGTCTCATCCAAGTTTAATATTTCTCTGGGGTCTTACGTAAGCTTATTTCCATTATAAGAATGGATGTCCTATTGCCTGGAATTTTAGTTCTAGTCTTAAATGAAGATATGAGTATCTTATAATTTAGGAAACTAACCTTTTTTTCTTCCCCATAGACCTCCACAATCTAAATTGCTTCGTGAAGATAAGAATCATAACATGTATGTTGCAGGATGTACAGAAGTAGAAGTGAAATCTACTGAGGAAGCTTTTGAAGTTTTCTGGAGAGGTGAGAAAAAACAGAGCTAGACTTAGAAAAATATAAAATGATAAATATAACCCAGAGAGTTGCTACTCTAATTTGACAGCAATCCTTTTTGACTTATTAGGAAGCCTGTATAATGAAATGACGGAGTTCAGGTTTAATCAATGTCATTTCTGTGTCGTCATAGGCCAGAAAAAGAGACGTATTGCTAACACCCATTTGAATCGTGAGTCCAGCCGTTCCCATAGTGTATTCAACATTAAATTAGTTCAGGCTCCCTTGGATGCAGATGGAGACACTGTCTTACAGGTAAAGTTGCAGTGTGGGGAGTTGTTCTAGTTCCAATT